ACTCCAAACATCAGTGAGTGAGACAGTTTGCCTATAAATGGCAAAGTTATCCTCAATATTTGGTAATACCACAGTTAGTTAGATACTAGAGTATTCTTGTTTCCTTGAGACCTGGGAGAGTAGGTCAACCTAGTTATCGCAAACATAATTCATAAGCATTATTTCCCAGCGGGGATGGGGTACCATAGCTGCATGGCTAAAAAAGGTTACACTCAATGTACTTTATGAATGATTAATTCTTAGAAAAAAGGGTTTTTTCCCCTCAAAATAATCAGTGTCGTCCTACTTTACGGGTAACTATTGGTCTGCTGTTTCCAGGATTTAGCTTCGCTGGAACTTGAGGAGGCACAGGGCCTCACCAGTACATTGAGGAGGCACAGGGTCTCATCAGTACATTATGGGGGACAGTCAGTCTTACCTGGTCACAGCATGGGGCTAATTTTCCTGCATTTGTGAGTTTGAGTCCTCAACAGAGTTTTTAAAAAGTTCTTTTCCATGGCCCTTTTGTGCCCACCATTCTCATGAAAGATCTGGGCAAGAGTGTACATGGTTTAGCAAACCTCATGACAAATAATGCCCAGCATCTCCTTCCCCCGGTGGATCTGTGGCCGCATCTCAGGAGCCTGGGACGCAGCACAATGTGAGAGGGGCAGGGCTGTCTGCTCACCGGGCGCTGCGGGGAACAGTCCTATGCTGGCCGGCAGGGTCTGTGATGCTGAGGACTGTGATGGGCATTGGGAAAGATGTGACGGGACGTGCTGTGGATAGCGGACATGGCGGGGCTGGGTGGGGGAGAGGCGGAGGGCGGTGGTCTGCAAAGTGACAGAAGGCCATCTGTGCGGGAGGAGCCAAGTCAGGCTGGAAGCAATAGTGCCCTCACGCCCCCATTCTTTAGACTCACTCCTTAAAAGGACTAGAGGAGGGAAGGGGAAAATTATAAGATGTTGAAGCCAATAAGAGATATTTTTGGACTTAAAGTTTAAAAATTCCCAATACTGAAAACTTTCTCACTGTTTTGTGAATTGAACAACTGGACCATTACAAAGACCTTTCGGAACAAAGAGTCAAAATGCCGTTAAGGGTCATGAATGATTTTTGAGTATTTTTGAGTAAGGAGAGTACATTGAAACTCATCAGGATCACCTAACAGACAATATATCACTTTTCTGGGAAACTTTTTACGAGGAAAAAAATGCATGAACAACGAAATGCAAGTTCCTATCTGTTTAGCTATATTTCAAACTTCCCCTGAAAACATGAGACGTGTTAACACAACACAATTATTTAAAAGGTAACAACACCAAAACATTTTACTGTTGTCAATTTAACACACAGAGGTCTGAGGAATGACCATTACCAGCCTTGAAAATCCATTATGCAAGGCTGTCTGAGATAAAAACAAAGCAGAATACATCTTTTAAAACATACCCATAGTATATAAGTGGCGAGCAAAGAAAAATCTAATCTAACTGTATTAAGATAAACGATTACCAAATTGAGTGCTTTAAAAAAATTGCCTTTATAACAAAAATTGTATTTCTCATTTCATCTGACATTAAGAGGAATCTGAACTACTATTTCTTAGTTAAATAAAATTAGAACCTAGAAAAACAACGAAACACCTTATAAATATTAGAGAGTGGATGTAAACACAGACTTAAAAATGAGCAGTAGGAAAAAAAACCACTTATGGATATTTGTTCTCTTCTGGACCACGATTTTTAAAATTTACTTTGGTAATTCCAGATGAAGATTCTAATTTATCTTGGTTTCTGGACTGATCTCTTTAAGTCAAACACTCTCTAAGTATATTCAACTTGTCTAATGCCACTGTCAAAAATAAAGTATTTAAGAAAAGGTACAACACAGAGCAAGAAAATACTACTAGAGGACAAGGAATTTAGATTTCACTGCAAAAAAAGCCATATTTGATATTATAGACACATGTTCCTATTTTTCACATCAGTTACTTATTAACACCAACATCACACTTGAACTTTCCCAATTACACAGTACAATAAGCCTGTCAAGATTTCCAGGAAATAACCATCAGACTTACTGTGCTTCCAGCAGCCAGAGCGAGGCTGGCCGGGTACCAGAAATCAACACATTCAGAAGAATGGCATCCTCAGATCACATGGACTCATATTAACTGCTACAAGAGCATTGAAGAAAATGTCATTTACTCATTTACAACATCCTCCTTCAGTCCTGAACTGCAGCTCTCTGATTATAGTTGTGTCATCATCTCGGAGCAGTTTTTTGACATCACCCTACACTACTGCCTGTGGAGTCTGTGGTAAAATCTCGAGGTTTCTAAAAAGAGTGAAATAAAATGCCACTGTGTGATGATGAGCCTCTGTTTCTGCTACCTGGTGGTGGTGGTGGTGGGGTCACCTTGCTGTGGCTCCATCCTGGTTCACGTGGCTCTTGTTGCTTTTGGCCAAAGGCACACCTATCTGAGAAGGACACCTATTTACACTGCCTCCTGTCAGGTGGAATACGCAGTGAGCCATGCGTATAATAAAACTATTATTGCCTCCTGTCAGGTGGAATACGCAGTGAGACACACGTATAACAAAACTACTTTAAAATACCACTGTTCTTCAGCTAAGAGAATTATGGACACAATTTAAAATCTGAATGTATTAATTAGAAAAATTAAATGAGGGCAACTGAAGAAGGTTTTCTTGTAATTACCAAATGAAAACTGTCAGAGAACTGTTGCTTCTTTCTGCTTTTATGACAATAGTCATCACACGAGGATAAACATTCAAAACAGATAATAGGATGTATCCTCATTAATTAAGCACCAGAGCAACTTTATATATACCTGTGTATATATGTATGTGTATATATATTATATAGATCTCACATACATATAATATTATATACATAGATCTCATATATATAATAGTATATCTCTCTCATATATATATAGTTTGTCACTGGTTAAAGTAAGTAAATGCTCTAATTAGAAAAATGAAAATCAAATACAAGAAATAGATACAGTGACGTGCTGAGGTTAAATTTTGGTTCTCTGTGTTGACTAGCTATTGTTAATTTAGCACTCAATCAGAATTAACTCTTGGATTTTGAGGGCAGATAAATCAGTAATTGGCATTTTTCCCACAAAGGAAAGTGGTCCTTTTAAAAGCTTTAATAGACTTGATGCAATTCCATGCAGAACAGGAAAAACATAACGTGCAGCCACCATTTTTGCGAAAATTACTTTCTTCTAGAATTTAAAATTTCCTCAAACATTTTGTATAAAACACATGACACTTTCCTGCTGACTATATTTGAGAAATAATAAAAGTAGCATAAAAAGTTCTTCTCCACTTTCAAAATATCTGAATAAAAACAAAGATCCAACTTTTAGGCAAGATAAGTTTATAATTCTGATTTATAAGTCAAAAAGATTTTCTTAGAACTTAAATCTTTATCTTTTTGTATCATTTCACATAACCTAGATTATTATAACTGAATGCATAATATGGATGTCAAAGTTGAATTTTAAAGATACAGTAAATTTTTTTTATAATTACCTTTCATACATTTAAACTCTGCAGCATTTAGCTCAAGATGAAACTTTTTACAAGAAGCCATAGGCTTTTGTCCAACTCAAAGATTCTAGCACAGATTTTCAACAAATAAAGTACAAGTGATGACATGTATGAAATACTGTATTATAAGGTCAAAACAGTGATGACAGATCAACAAATATACTTCAGTACACTTCCCTCCCCAACCCTCACGGCCTGTGCTTCACTTATTCTTTTAGGATTTGTACTGGAGGGTCTTACTGTTCCTTTTAAAGTACACTTGTAATACTTTATAGCACAACTTATCCTTAGCACGGGTTCTCAAATCAAGAGAGATATTTCAGTGCATATTTCATGGCTATTTGCATAGCCTTTCTTTCAAAACTTCTGGAAGAAATTCTGATAATGAAATTTCAAGATGATATGACTATTTATAATGAGCTTCTCTCTCTAGAAATGGTTTTACACTTTAGAGATCATACCCACTTCCCTGGCAATAAGTAAGAACTTAAAAGAAATACAATAAAACTTTTGAGCAGTCAGGTGGCTGTAAAGGATGTTACTGCAGCATGCACAATGCTAGGTGTGCAACATGTCACGGCTAACACCGTGAGTACATACTTGAGTACATACTCAAGGAATGCCATGACGCAGAGATTGTTGGGGCAAACTCATTAATACTCACAATGAAATCGCCAAGCAAAATGGTGCTTATGAAGGTTGTGAATTCAGAGAGCAAGCCCCTTGCACTTTCCTGATAAACTCTTCCCTAATTCAAGAGTATTCTGCCATTATCTTCTAATCAATGATGATTGTGCTTATGGACATGTAGCCTTCACGGGAGAGACTAGGCTGATTGAAAAATAAAGATGACCAACCAGTTTGTCCCAACCTAGCTCACTTTACAATCTCAGAAATGTATTACGGAGCAGTCACATCATCAGACCTGAATGCAAGGGATGGAAAAAACACACCAGTGAGCTGGGCCCTACAATTTTCAGGATGCTTCATCTTCCCAATTGCATTCTTCATCGTAAGGAGTGAAAACAGCAAGATTATTCAATCTGAAAAGTCACAGATGTCACAGCGGTATAGAATAATTGCCTCTTTTTTCCCCCTTTATCAGTGTAGGAAAAGCTCCCTTTCTGTAGCCCACACTGCATAATAGCACTTCAACCAGGTTCCTTTTAAAATGAAAAGTGAACAAGTTTCCCAATGTTGGCTTTATAAAATCGAAAGCCATGATTCAATTCAAACCAGGCTGAGCTCTTAATCTGACTTATTTCAGCCACTGATTTTTGTAAAATGAAAGGAAAAAAATCTCAATAGGCAATTTGCATTTGCAAGCACTGGACTTCAAAATTCATCACTGTTTTCTTTAAATTGTGACTAAACCTTAACGGAATTATAATACTTTCATGAGGTTAATCATTCACAGTCATCCCTAGTCATATTTTGTTCTTTCCATTTTTACCATTTCAAATAGTTCAATATCGTCCACCACAAACCACTGAAAATTATCATTTATGGTTATTACACTTATTTCTCCAGTGAGTCAGATGATTTGCCCAGGAGCTCCAAGTACCAGTTGAAAAGTTGAGTCTTTAAAAACCTTCAATGTTTTAAACACTTGGTTAGAAAAAAGATTAACAACTACTTGTAATTATCTACCTTATGTGCTTTGTGGTGTCTTTTCAAAACGAGAGTATAAATCATTGTACATAAAATCAAAATAGTTAATATATATTTTTTTCGGCACTTTCTAGAAATTAGGTGCTAAACATAAAACATGTTATAAATTTATATAACAAAAATAAATGTTTACATTTTAATTTTAGATAGATTACCTTAGGGGAGCAGTTCACCTGTGAATCCCACACTGTTGGTGTGGCAGCACAGAAACACACATGCAAGTCCACAGCCCTTCAGAGATGGACACGGTGGCTGCCATCCAAATATGTGGGCTGTGTGCCAACATAGAGATTAAGGCTCTCTGTTTTGGAGGAGTGAGCTCTGGGTTAAAACAAGTGCAGAAGTACCGCAATAGTCGTTGAAAATACTGAAGAGGCTCTGAAGAGTTTCAAATACTGGGGGGAAAAAAACATTTGGACTAGAAAAATAAAACAAAACATCTCAAAATGACTTCAAGTACTTTGGGAAAGGCTGCTGACATAGAGTGCCAAAATCAGAAAGGATGAAGACCTCAGGAACGCCAGGGACGGCTCCAGTCCTGTCCACCTGCGGGTTCCGATTCCCGGCTGCAGCCCCTGAAGAGCACTGGCGAGCTGACGGTAACCAGCAACCACAGTTTCTGACCGTCCTGAAACACCTACGTTGAAGGCGAAGACCAAGCCTTATGGGAGAATTTCCTTGGAACGAACCATTAGAAATCTGAAGATCTCAAGGGGGAAAAAAGCCATACATTTTAACATCAGTAGCAGAAAGGGAAGAAAGGAAGAAGATCCCGGCTCTTCTGAACGGCAGTATTTTGGGCAGGTGAGTTGTGGTTCTTGATGAGTGTAGTTCTTCCTTACGTCTTGGCTTTCCTCACTAATAGGACGAACCCACTGACAGCTGGCATCTTTCCAGAGGGCGGGGTGCATGAGGGAGATGTGCTTGGGCGTGCCAGTGCCCCCGGCAGGCAGGGGCACACTCGTGTGCAGCCAGGTGCGTACCTCAGTGTTCCCGAAGCTGGGAAACAGTCACCAAATCTCCAATTGTCTTCAGTTTACTAAAGCAGCATAGGAAGTGTAGGTTGATATGGCTCCTTATCTTCCACAGAAGAAAGGTGCCCAACTGGCTGGTCACACGACGTCTGGGGTTGTCTTCTGTGTTGCTAGAGCCTGGTGATATCTCTGCTCTGCTGCAAGTCGCCAATGCTCTCGTAGTCATTCTCCTTCGGGACAAGACCGTGGTGGCCATTGGGCTCCAGGGTGGCCTTCTCCTCTTCTCTGTTTAGAGCCTGTATTGCTTCATAATCGGGCTCGGGCTCCTGGCCGGGTCTCCCTGCTGGTGGAGGCGTGCTGATGCTGTTCAGAGTTTTCTCAAAGTCTTTAACAGTAGCATAGAGATCATTGCAGGAAGAGGGGGACGTCTGGGCAGCTCCTTGGATGGAAGTGTAGGTGGACTCGGGTGCTTTAAGCGACTGTCCTGATTTATTCCCTGACTGTCCGGGTTTATGTACTGACGAATACATGGCCGAGATCTAGAAAACCAAGGGTGAACCGAATAAACAAGCTTCAAGCTCAACTTCTCTCTCTCCCTTTTTAGTGACAAGCTAGATACTTAGCATTATGGCCATGCGGCCCTGTAAGGTTTATTCTTTTGTTTGCTGATTTTTTTTCCCATCTTTATTTGGAGATAATTGACATATAACATATGTAAGTTTAAGGTGTACCACACGATGATTTGATACACGTATATCTTGTGAAATGATTACCACAATAAGGTTAGTTAACACCTCCATCACCATAATTACCATTTTTTTGTGATGGTAACATTTAAGATCTACTCTCTTAACTTTCAAGTTTAACAGTACAATATTGTTAACTATAGTCACCATTCTGTACATTAGATCCCCAGAACTTATTCATCTTATTCCTGGAAGTCTGTACCCTTTGATCAACATCCCACATTTCCCCTACTCCCTAGCCCCTGGTACCTACCCTTCTACTCTCTATTTCTATGAGTTCAGCCTTTTTAGATTCCACATATAAGTGAGATCATACAGTATTTGTCTTTCTCTGTCTGACTTACTTCACTTAGTGTAATGCTCTCAAGGTCCATTCATGTTGTCACAAAAGATAAGATTTCCTTCTTTTTTATGGCTGAATAATATTCCACTGTGTGTATATATACATATATATGTGTGTGTGTAAATATGTGTATATATATATACACGTGTATATATGAATCATTTGTCTATATATATCTCACATTTTCTTTATCCATTCATCCACTGATGGATACTTAGGTTGTTTCCATGTCCTGGCTACTGTGAATCATGCTGCAATGAACATGGGGGTAAAGATATCTCTTCAAGATAGTGATTTCATTTCCTTCAGATATATACCCAGAAGTGTGTTCTTTATTATCTGTACTAATCCTGGAGTACATTACTAAAGAACAATTATATATATTATCTTCAACTTTGTAAGTAGACCAGTCATATTAGCATAATTCCATGAAAACCAGGTTCTCTCCAGGTCTGCTGGGGTGTATGAGGAGAGCAGGTGGCGTGGGCAGCTCAAGAGCCCCCAGGACCTGACCACAGCATCACGTTTTATTTGATTTCAATATCAGCGTGACATTTCACCTGAAAAGGGGCTCTACTGCTTTGTAAAAGGGGAAGGAAACATGTATTAGACGAATGATTCTCAAAATGTGGGCTTTGAACCCGCAGCAGCAGGATCTAGGAATTTATTAGAAAGGCAAATTCTTGGGCCCCGCCCCAGAACCATTGAATCAGAAACCCTGGGGGTGGGGCCCAGCACTTTGCTGACTCTGACGTCCACTAACATGCGAGAACCACTGAATCAGACTATTTGATCCACTCTTGCTGCATCAAAGTGGTCTCAAGAGTAGTTCCTGGATTCTAGTTGGCAGTAATCATATATCTGTACAAGTATCATTTTCCATTAATTTTTGACTTCATTGCATTTTCTTGGTTAAATAGATACTTACAGAATGGGCTAAGTTTTCTTCAGTGGGGAAAATTCAGTCTTATTTGCGACCAACAAACTCAGAAATGAAACTTGGAGACAATTAACTTGTGGGACGCTCTTTCCTATGCACACTTACTCAGTCTCACCAATATATCCCACATAACCTCTACGGTCAAGAGGAACTGAATTGTCGTAGGTAATGATAGATTAAATACACTGATTAAGAGATTTTTTGGGGGTATTATTTTACTGTTAGAAATCATGGTTGGAAATAAGGAAAAATATCCTTCATTACCTTGTATTTATCTTGGACACAGTGACTGATTTATTCAAACACCCGGGAAATAAATGAACATGCTTCCTGACAGATGCTTGGCTCTGCAAGTGCGGACAGAGATTTTCCTGCTTTCCCATATCCCACATGCTGTGGATGAAGCTTCCAGCTGGCCTCAAAAGCTTCTTAAGACAGGCCTGCTGCATGGAAACTGGTCATTTGCATGAGGACTTTTCACTACTGGTGGCTCCGTTTTGCCAGGCCTTGACAAACGTTTAGAGTCAGAGAAATCGTCTTTGGGAAACTCTTGCCATGTTGATCTGACCTTTCTAACGAATATTAAATTAAGACTCTCACCTTAGAGGTTTTAATGGAAAAATTACTCTTAAAATGAAGAATTTTAATTTATTTGCATTTAGGAAGAATAAAAAAATCTGCTTTTCACAGTGAGGTGTGAACAGATGGAACTTATTATCCCAAAGGTGGTCTAGCCAAAAATGTGGACAGATTATAAAGGGGTAAACCATGGAGGACAGTGAGGAAGGACACTAGATATTTATTCCTCACCTTCACGGGCAACTTCAGGGAGGACAAACCCCTTTACCTAAATTCTAACAACGCAATGGCCCCTCACCACAGTTTCTCTTTCTCTCCTCAACTTTCTTTCCCATGGCCTCTGCCATTAAGACCCCCTACTTTTTGTAAGTACTGGGGTCTTCTTGGCCTTTGTACTATTTTTTTATTTATTTTATTTATATAAATTTTTTATATAAACTTAGGGCCGGCCCCGTGGCTTGGTGGTTAAGTGCACGTGCTCCGCTGCTGGTGGCCCGGGTTTGGATCCCGGGTGCGCACCGACGCACCGCTTCTCCGGCCATGCTGAGGCCACATCCCACATACAGCAACTAGAAGCATGTGCAGCTATGACATACAACTATCTACTGGGGCTTTGGGGGAAAAAAAGGAGGAGGATTGGCAATAGATGTTAGCTCAGAGCCGGTCTTCCTCAGCAAAAAGAGGAGGATTAGCATAGATGTTAGCTCAGGGCTGATCTTCCTCACAAAAAAAAATAAATAAATAAACGGAATTTAAAATTTTACACAGTCTCTATTTATTTATTTATTCTTTTATTTATTTTATTTTCTGAGGAAGAATCGCCCTGAGCTAACATCTGTGCCAGTCTTCCTCTATTGTGTATGTGGGTCACCGCCACAGCACGGTGGTGAGGGGTGTAGGTCCGCGCCTGGGAACCAAACCTGGGCTGCCAAAGTGCAGCGCACTGAACTTAACCACCAGGCCATGGGGCTGGCCCCTTGATTTATTTTAAAGGATTAGTTTCCAGATCTCTCCTATATCCTACTTTCTTGTCCCGAATGGGATGGCTCTGATACAGTGTGAACCCAGACTGGAGGAAGTCCTGGAGCTGCCACAGGCCCTGGTGGGAGGGCGCTGCCAGAGTCTAGAGAGGGGCGGCCACACTGGAGATGGAGGTGTGGGGGGGGCATGGAAGAAACTATTTGGAGGTGGAATTGAGGGGACTTGGCTACTGACTGCGTCTGAGGACAGTGAGGAAAATGGGGTGTCAAGGATGACCCCCGGGGTTTTGGTTTGTGCAACCTGGTGGACAGATGGCAGGTCCATTCCCTGGGACAGGAAACACAGAGGGGGTGTGGCAACATCCCCTAAGGAAAGCCCTTCTGCTCCTTAAACTTTCAAGGTGGGATTGTAGTCTATCTTCATATTTTAATAGTCTGCTCGGGGTCCTATATAGGAGATGTACCTGCATGTGTGCATCATTTCTATACACGTACAAAATTCACCATGCTGGGATTCCAGACAGAAGCTATATGCGGCTAGATAAATTAAGGTGTTCAGCTCTCTGTTTGAGCCTGGCTTCACATAATAACATATACACTGGCTTTTACAATTTTAATGCTTCACTGAAAGTTTAACCAGTGAACTTTTCGCCCTGGTGCTTGGGAGAATATTCAATCCTCTCTTGTTGGTTGCTATGTCTGACCTAAGCTCTAGCCTGGAATCATATTTCTGGAGTTACCTGCTCTCTGCCTCCCAAATTCCTCACTGAGACCTTCTCACTCTGTCTCCCAGACGGGATCAAATTCTCGACACCCATCTGTTCCAATTCCCTGTATTTCCAACCCACTATGAGTTTCCTTCTAATGTGGGCTTCCTGACTGCTGACTACAGCCCCCATATTTAATTCCTCTCTCCCATTCCTATTTTCTCCCCTCCCCTTTCTGTTTTATCTGATCCTTCTTTCCTACCCGGTTTCCTTTCCTTAGCTGACCTGTCTCCCTTCTTGTCTCACCATCTCCCGCTCACTCTCTCTGAGTCATTATAAAGTCAATATCCGCAAACCCTGCTCTCCAAACTTATGCTTGAGAGAGTATTTTAGCTTTTTCAGACAAAGGGTAACATGACCGTGCATTTATTCAAGGAGGGAAGCTCTATTCTTTATTACAGGAGCTTTCTGGTTACTTAAAAAGCAACAAAACTTACCTCTTCTTCCGTGAGAGTCGGGTCTTCCTCCCGGGACTTGTATGACAATGAACTAAATCTCTGTTAGAACAAATACAGACCAAAGGAAAGTAGTTTGAAGTCAACAATCCAACCCCAAAATTCCTTTCTTTTGCACGTGTTTGGATACATCTATCTATAAAGATGTTTTCAAATGATTCTTAGGGAACCACAAAGAAATTATGTAAAGCACCTGAGGAATAAACACTTATAATTATTTAGACTATTGTTTCAGTTGCTAATCGTCACTGAAGGATTGATCCTCAATGAAGGATTGGTCATCAATGAAGGATCGATAATAAAAAAAAAATGATGTTTCTTTATCAAATGCCTGAAATTTAAATTTCTACAGTTTGCATGAGTCATCAGGAAGATTTTTAATTCATCTGGAAACTTTCACTGCTAATGAAGGAATCAGCTCACATTTTGTGGCTTGTTCCCTGTTGAATACCTAAACTTAAGAGTTACAGGTTATTGTTTAGAAACTGCCACAAAATGAAGCCTCTTACTTGATTTATATAAAAGTATATATCTAATCAGACAAAACCAGAGGCCCCTGCGAGGGGGTTCTCTCTGTGCAAGCTTCTGTGCTTTGATTTCTGGGATCCTGGAAGGGTGGAGATCTCCACACTGCTGAGGCAGCGACAAGCAGAAGAGGCTAACTGTGTGGCAGGGTCTAGTCTCTCCATTTAATTCTTGGTCTTCAAAATGAGGGAAAGAACACTTGGCCCCAATCAGACACGATGTAAAAACTGGAAAATATCCAAGTAAGGTGCCAAGAGGGAAATATTTTGTAAACACGAGTTTTCAGTATTTTATTACTTGGAGGGGGAAAAAAGTCAAACACAGCTTACACTAAAACAGCTTTCATCATTCAACGAACTCAAAAGTGTCTGGATATATTTCCCAGAACAACGTGCACAGAAAAGTGCCAGGATTAGCGAGACTCCTAACCACGACAAAAGCACGTGAAACACAAACTTGGAGCCCACCTTGTTGGTTTCGCTGGTCCCCTCCGCGGCTCTTTCTTCTCCCACCTTCTGCTCTATCTTCTCCTCAAGATTTTCATTTTCATCCAGGAGTTTAATGGGGACAGGCGGTGGGGCCTCCTCTTCTGGATCACACGCATTTCCAAGAAGACTCTCCGCATTGACACTTTGTCGACACTTTTTGTTTCTGTCCACGGAGGCATATTCAGCAAAGTCCGCTTTGCCATCGGTCTGGGGCCCCGGGAGCTCCTTCAAAGCGGAGGTCGACTTTGACTTGCCACCTTGGCCCTTCCCCGGGGGTGCGGCTGTGGCCACCTCCTTAATTTCCTTCACAGTCTCATACAAGCAGTCCTCCACCATATTCTCTTGGGAGGAACTATCCTTGAGCACTTCATAGGGTCCTTCCATCCCCGGACCCTGCTCCCCGTCCACACTTCGCGCAGCGAGCATCGTGTCTACTGCGCTGTCGGGAGGAATTCTGGGCAGTTCCCGGCTCTGATGACACTTTGGCTTCCCTGTGCTGTCCTGGGAGTCCAAGAGATCCGAAGCCGAGGTCTGGACTTCCTCGTAATGTTGCATGCAGGTCAAAGTACTGTCCTCTGAAAGAACTGAGGCAGCAGAAGCATTAACAGGGGAGCAAGACGATTCCTTCAACAATTATTACAGGGAATCAGATCATGGAAAGTGAGGCTCAATCAAGGTGCTTGCTTTTTATTTGACTCTCGGCTGCACATTACAGCTCTTATGACTGTTAGTGGATATTCTTTCAACCACAGCTTAAACTAAAGCCATCCATTACGTCTTTCCAATACAACATTTAATACGTTGTCTTGGCTATAAATCTGGTTCACTACTTGTTGTTACTCCTGATGGGACTCTTGTAGGCAGAGTGTCCAGTGTGACCAGAGCATAAAAGCGATATTCCATGGGGCCAAACTGTGGGAGGCTGGGCGCCAAAAAGCGGGGCATATGTGGTGGCCACTCTCCCTGGCCCCACTGGCCTCCTCCTGTTTGGAGGGAATAATGGGCAGCCATCCCTGTTCACAGGTCACTTTTGTTTGGCAGACGTGATAGAAACAATGGGGTAAAAAATGTACCCTAAAGCGGTATCACAGAGTGACGGCAAACCCTGTGCCTCTTTATCTTCTTCCTTCTGTCTCACTTCCCCCCCAACCCCAGCATTTCTACTCAAATTAGAAAATCCAAATGGGAAATGCTTGGACCACCACAGAAATGTCACTGTGTGGAGCCACTCAGTCATCCCTTTACCAAATGTTTTTTGAGAGCCTGCTGTGTGCCAGGGATGGCTGAGGTGCTGGAGATACAGCATTCAACAAAACAGAGTCCTGCCTTTCTGGTACTTACACTACAGGGAGCAAGTTACTAAACTACTGTGTCTCCATTATATAAAGAATATATAATATACATACTATATATCGTTTATATATAAGTATAAAAAGCATAAGTATTCGTAAGTGTAAATGTATACCTAAACATATATTTATACTGATATATTCATACATATTTATCTTATATACTCTTTATATAATATATATTCCTTATATATTAAATATAGTCTTTATATCTGTGTGCGGGGGTATTTATAACTTATGATTTTTCTTTTTTTTTTGATGAGGGAGATTGGCCATAAGCTAACATCCGCTGTCAATCTCCCTCTATTTTGTATGTGGGATGCCACCATAGCATGGCTTAATGAGCGGTGCATAGGTCTGTGCCCAGGATCCGAACCTGTGAACCCGGGCTGCTGAAGCACAGCATGCGAACTTAACCACTATGCCACCAGGCAGGCCCCATAACTTACCATTTTTAACCCACTTGTTTTTACTGACCAGACTGGGGTTCTCTAAGGCCCCTGGAGCCCAGAACAGTGTCTAACACATGGTGGCACCACTGTTTTTCCATGAAAATCTAAATGAGTGAATGGATAAATGAAGTGCACACCTTTTGTCCTGACAAAAGAAAAGATTGTTTCTCTTTGCGGGATCAGAAATCGTGTCCCTAAGGAGTAACTGGGGAACGTAACAAAGGATCCCTCAAGCCTTCTGAACTTAGCAGCACCACCCACCTCTGTTCTAAATACTTGGTCATCACGGAGGGGGTGAACTTCTGCCCTCTGGTTCTAGACGTCTGTGTGACGGTGGACAGAGAATGGGCACTGGAGTCTGAAGACCCCGGTGTCAATACTGACCGACCCACAGTTTCCTTGTCAGTCAATGGGGGTAACAGGACAATCTCCTACCTCAAGTGAAAGTGCTCTGTAAACTAGACAGTGGAAATGCAGTCGCAACTTTTCTCAGCAAGAGCACCCTGTGCATGAAACAGGCAGTATGCAGAGCGATGCCGAGCGTGTGCCCGGGACCCAGATTGCTGGGCTCAAGTTACATGCCCTCGGCGCGCTGACCACATGATCTGAGGCAAATTATAACCTCTCCGGGGTAGGCACAATAACGGCCCCCCAAAGACGTCCACATCCTAATCCCTGGACCCTGTGAGTATGTTTTGTTAGAGGGCTAGGGAGGAGTTAAGGATACAGATGGAACTATCAGCGACCCTGGGCTGGGGACAGTAGCCCGGGTTATCCAGGTAGGCCCAATGTAACTATGAGGGTCCCTAAAGTGAAAGAGGCAGGCAGGAGAGTCGGAGAGAGATCTGAAGATGGAGGGAAAGGCCAGGATGCAAGGAATGCGCGTGGCATCTCGAAGCTGAAATGGGCAAGGAAGTCGATTCTCCCCTAGAGCCTCGAGGCAGAAACGCAGCCCAGCTGATGCTCTGATTGTAGCCCCGTGAGACCCGGGTCAGACTCTGACCTCCAGAGTGGTAAATTAATAAAACTCTTTGTGGTAATTTGTTGCAGCAGCAACGTGCCGCAGTTGCCTCACCCTGTAAATTGTGGATAGTAATAATACCTATCTTATGGGGTAGCAATGACTCCTATTTTACAGGGTAGTAATAGTACCTATCTTACAGGGTAGCAATTTTACCTAGCTCTCAGAGTAGCAATAATACCCATCTTACAGGGTAGTAATGATTCCTATCACACAGGGTAGCAATAATACCTCTCTTACAGGATAGTAATGATTCCTACCTTACAGGGTAGTAATGATACCTATCTCACAGGATAGTAATGATTCCTATCTTACAGGGTAGCAATGATTCCTGTCATACAGGATAGCAATGATACTTATCTTACAGGATAGCAATGATACCTACCTTACAGGGTAGTAATGATTCCTATCTCACAGGGTAGTAATGATACCTATCTCAAAGGATAGTAATGATTCCTACCTTACAGGGTAGCAATGATTCCTACCTTACAGGGTAGCAATGATACCTACATTACAGGGTAGCAATGATTCCTAATTCACAGGGTAGCAATGATTCCTATCTCACAGGGTAGCAATGATTCCTAATTACAGGGTAGTAATGATTCCTATCGTACAGGGTAGTAATAATACCTATCATATAGAGTAGTAATGATTCCTATCGCACAGGGTAGTAATAATACCTATCATATAGGGTAGTAATGATTCCTATCGCACAGGGTAGTAATGATTCCTATCGCACAGAGTAGTAATGATTCCTATCATACAGGATAGCAATAATACCTCTCTTACAGGATAGTAATGATTCCTACCTTACAGGGTAGTAATGATACCTATCTCACAGGATAGTAATGATTCCTATCTTACAAAGTAGCAATGATTCCTATCTTACAGGGTAGTAATGATTCCTATCATACAGGATAGCAATGAACTTATCTTACAGGATAGTAATGATACTTATCTCACAGGGTAGTAATGATTCCTATCTCACAGGGTAGTAATGATACCTAACTCAAAGGATAGTAATGATTCCTACCTTACAGGGTAGCAATGATACCTATCTTACTGGGTCGTAATGATTCCTATGTTACAGGGTAGTAATGATTCCTATCTTACAGGGTAGCAATGATTACTACCTTACAGGGTAGCAATGATTCCTATCTCACAGGGTAGCAATGATTCCTATCTCACAGGGTAGCAATGATTCCTAATTACAGGGTAGTCATGATTCCTATGGTACAGGGTAGTAATAATACCTATCATATAGAGTAGTAATGATTCCTATCGCACAGGGTAGTAATGATTCCTATTGTACAGGGTAGTAATAATACCTATCATATAGGGTAGTAATGATTCCTATCGCACAGAGTAGTAATGATTCCTATCGCACAGGGTATTAATGATTCCCATCTTACAGGGTAGCAATGATACCTATCTTACAGGGTAGTAATGATTCCTATCGCAGAGGGTAGTAATGATTCCTATCTTACAGGGTAGTAATAATACCTATCATATAGGGTAGTAATGATTCCTATCTTACAGGGTAGTAATGATACCTATCTCACAGGGTAGTAATGATACCTATATCACAGGATAGTAATGATTCCTATCTCACAGGATAGCAATGATTCCTATCTCACAGGGTAGCAATGATTCCTATCACACAGGATAGCAATGATACCTATCTCACAGGATAGTAATGATACCTACGTAACAGGGTAGTAATGAGTCCTACCTTACAGGGTAGTAATGATACCTATCTTACAGAGTAGTAATGATTCTTATAGTACAGGGTAGTAATAATACCTATCATATAGGGTAGTAATGATTCCTATCGCACAGGGTAGTAATGATTCCTATCTTACAGGGTAGTAATGATACCTATCTCACAGGATAGTAATGATTCCTACCTTACAGGGTAGCAATGATTCCTACCTTACAGGGTAGTAATGATTCCTACCTTACACGGTAGCAGTGATACCTACATTGCAGGGTAGCAATGATTCCTATCTTACAGTGTAGCAATGATTCCTATCTTACAGGGTAGTAATGATTCCTATCTCACAGGGTAGCAATGATTCCTATCTCACAGGGTAGCAATGAATCCTATCTTACAGGGTAGTAATGATTCCTATCTTACAGGGTGGTAATGATTCCTATCTTACAGGGTAGTAATGATTCCTATCTTACAGGGTAGTAGTGATTCCTATCTCACAGGGTGGTAGTAATACCTATCACATAGGGTAGTAATGATTCCTATCACACAGGATAGTAATGATTCCTATCTTACAGGGTAGTAATGGTATTACTAGCAATAATTGTAATCTTACAGGGTAGTTGCTAGCTTAAATGAGTTAGCACACATACAAATCTTAGAGCAATGGCACATAGAAGTCAATTAATAAATACTAGCTTTTCATCCCAATGAGATCATTTTTGCCCAAACTGGTAGTAATATTAAAAGTGAGCAAGAACACATTTCCTCCTTTTTGAGCAACATGTTTTGAAACCTAGTCCTTTCCTAGGTGATGAGGCCTGCGTGGAAAGCCAGCGTTTTTGCAGTACTTACTGTCACCGTTGGTGAGGGCCCCGTTCTGTTCACTGCTGACAAGAGCATCCGTGGCCAGGCTAGTAACCGAACGGCTGAACATCTCCTTGTCCGAAGGCTGCAAAAACAAATGCACCACACCAAGAATCAGACTGCAGAGCAGACGAGCCTATCCACGGATTTTTCAACAAATTAGAGCAGCAACAACAAAAACCCAAATCCACTGCTTAAATTTAAGTTAAGTGAAATTAAACAAAATCGAGTTCCTCAGTTGTACTAGCCACATTTCAAGTGCTCCACAGCCACATGTGGCTAGTGGTTACCCTATCAGGTAGTTCAGATACAAAACACTTCCATCATGGTGGAAAGTTCTACTGGACAGGGCTGGCCTAGGATCTTAAAGGCACTGGGAATCTTCCAAGGCCATCTGCAAAGCTTCCCACCTGGTGATCACAAATGGGCTCCAAGTAGCTCACGTGGTATCAGTCCCCTTAGCTCAAAGTGAGGAGGGGACCAGAAGCCCCGTGCTGGTCACAATTGACTCCAGCAGACAGCAACCTCCTTCTTGCATCACAGGTGCTGCAAAATGTTATTCTTTTTAAAGGTGTGCCATGCCATGAAAAACATGGGAAAGCATCACCCTTTGTCATCTGAAGGGAACAGACTTAAATCTGGTCAAAGATAATCGTAGAAGTCAACGACATTATCTATTTCATAACCAGCCAAGTCTCCGCTGCAAGGCTCACGAAAACAATCACATGCTAAAAAGGTTTGCAAACCCTTCGTATTCTCACAAACACATTCGGGACCCTTGGAGGGAAGAAGGGCACGCGGATTGTTTATTTTCTACTGGGCTAGCATGTGTAGATATTACCTGGAATAATACACCAGGCTGAGCTATAGCTATGAGTAGTCAGAAAGTAAGCTGGTAGTTCAACGTATTTCTTTAAATACCCAACTGCTCCCAGGTAGCAGCCTGAGTCACTGCTCATATGACCTCTTCCCCTATCCTTCTCATGGAATGCAGACATGACCCAGGACCCAGAAGACACTGAGGGCTGTGGAAAAGCCAGCAAAGCCAGGTCATACCAAGGGTGTTGGGGGTCCCAGTCTCTGGTTAACTTAGTGACCAGCTGTTATGGTTGAACTGTATCCTCCCCAAATTCCTGTTGTATCCTCCCCAAATTCCTGTTGAACTTCTAACCCCTAATACCTTAGAATGTGACCTTATATAGAAACAAGGTCAATGCAGATGAAACTAGTTAAGATGAGGTCATAGTGGAGTCCTCATAAAAAGGGGAAACGTGGACAGAGACAGACACACACACAGAGCGAAGACTACGTGGAGAGACTCAGCGAGAATACCATGTGACGATGAAGGCAGACAGCTACAAACCAAGGAAAGCTGAGACTGCCAGCCAGCAGGCCACCAGAAGCTGGGAGAGAGGCCTGGAACAGATTCACCTCAGAGCCCTCAGAAGGAACCAACCCTCTGACACCTCGATCTTGGATTTCTAGCCTCCAGAACCGTAAGACAATAAATTTGTTACTTAAGCCGCTCGATTTGTGGTCCTCTGTTATGACAGTGCTAGCAAACTGATACACTGGTTGGAGATGGGCAGCGGCAAAAAAGAAACATCCCTGCGGTAGGTCGGAGCGCATCCATTTCAGGAACTCTCCCAACAACCTGGCTACCTGCACAGGCCCCTAGCCACAGTGAATATACACCTGCAGGAGGAGGACACAGCCCAGGCAGCCAGTATGCTCTGGCTGAGTTCTCTCCCTCCAGATCCTTCAGGTCGTGAGTGTGTGGGAACACGCTTAGATAAGCGGCTGATGTTTTAAAACGCAGACACACGCAGATACATGCACACACACGCAGACACGTGCACACGGGCTCACCACGTTCATCAGGTTCTCATGGTCCCCGCTATGCTGTCTCGGCTTCTTTTCTCTGAAATGGCAAATAAAACATTGCTGTAGTATCCAACCTGCCATCTAAAATTAAACACACGCTCCCCTTTCCCATCCTAATTTTTATCAACACTTAAATCTCTCTTTGAAGAACCAAATTAATTTTGCCAAGGAAGCCAAAGCTAGACAGCTACTCGCAGGCGGTAGGGCCTGAGGAGGTCGAGTCACAGCACGGGACGGTCACCTCTCTTCTCTCCTTCTTCTAGGAGAAGAAAATACATGTTCACAACAAGAGGACCGAGGCAGGTTCCTGAGTTGAAACTGTTCATATCTAAAATACTGGAATGAATTACACCTTTTTTTTTTTTTAAGGAAATCTAGACAATTCTTATCTCTTCATTGTTCTTAATTCAGAGTCTTTGCAAAGTTGCACACTGCAATGGGATTGAGAAAATAATCAAGGAAAATACAAATTTTGGCACGTCAGGAAGGGTACATGCTCTCAGGATGAGTCATATGTACTTCCAGTCTATGGAAAAGTCCGTCAAGTAAAAATAGAATTTATTTTTACTCAGGACAGGCTAAAGAAAGCCCTCAGTTCGAGAGAATAGTTTCCCATGTCTGTATAAGGCAACAGCGACACCTAGTGGGGGCGCGAATGATTACAGAGGCAGGCCCTCCCAGGCCCAGGGGAGCAAACTCCCTGCTCTCTTCTATTTCTTCATCTTCTGGCCAGACTGTCCCAGCCGTAGGGGTCCTGGGTCCAAACTGGGCAGGGACTAGGAGGCTACTTGGGTTCAGAGAGGTCGGCTGTTCCCCTCTTGACAGAGACTTTAGGGTAGGAAGCCACATCCAGACTTTTAAATGACACTTGACTGAGCTCACGGGCCCCCAGCAGCAGCCACTCCACCAGGAGGCTGCACGGATTCTAACATGTCTGAAAATTATCCTGGTTAGAAAGAACTTTGCTTCTCTCTGAGCACAGATCTCCTTTTAGAGGGATACAGACATTTTACACGAGGCAGACATAGAGGGAAGGGGAGGAAGAGAGAGAGAGGGCGGGGGAAGTATAATTAAAAAAAAAAAAAAAGACAAGATGATTATTTCCTATCAACCATGTCTTTCTTGTAAGAAAACTAATCTTTTTCTTAAGAAACTGCAGTTCTAGATTACAAATCTTTATTGAAATGATCCCTCCAAAGGGATCCACGTAACAAAGCAAAAATTCTTAGTAACTCTGGGGGGCAACAAAAAGACTATCTTTAATGCACATCCCACTTAGATTTCCAAATGTCCACCAATGGAAAAAGACAATACAAATTTTGACAAAGACGTGCTCAATAGAATAGCAAGAATGTCATTCTGGGAAGTTTTCACATACAAGGGCTCTTCCCCAGCAACATCGAACGTGGATTCTCCTTCAGCTAATAAAAACTGTCCCAGGATCCTTTGCAGCAGAGAGGTAAGTAACCCTAACACATGAGTTTCTGTGAACTTCTCTGCAGTGGGATTCCATTCATATCAGGCTTTTGATATAAACAGTCTTCTGGGTGCGGGGAACGTGTGATTTTAAGGTTCCGGTAGATATACTCACTCTCACCTGTCACAACTGGAGCACAGAAAGATGAGGAAGGCGATGAGGAAGAAAGTGGCCACGGCCGCCAAGCTCCCCCACAGGGCGATCTGCATCTGCCCGCCGCTCAGCACGCTCCCCGAGGGGCCCATGGTGGCGGCAGGAAGTGGCACGAGGTGGTGGAAGATGTCAGTCCTTCAAAGCTGGCGACATGGGAACAGAGAGCCGTGTCCTCCTGCAGAGAGACCACATGTGAAACAACTTCTCGTGTGAAGTGACGGAATCCTGTAACTGGTTCACGCCAGGAGGAAGGCCTCTGAGCAAAGGCAGGGGCTGAGTGCACAGTGTCTGAGGCAATGGACGTCTTGCTATCTGGATATGACTGGGGACAGATCCTCAGTCTTCAAATAAAGCAAGATTCCAAGTACTCCATTGCAAATAAATAAATGCTTATTTGGATTCTGTTTTTCCAGAACAGTCTAAAGCATTTATTACAGCTTTCACAAAAATGCAGTTTGCATCTTCCCTACCTGTCTCCCTAGCTCCCCAAACCTGCTTTTCTTCGAGAAGGTTTAAGGTCAATGCAACTAATGAAACAGAATGTCTCTATATTCACCTCCATAACTAGTTATCCGTTCTGAGTCTGTGACTGTTCATTTTCGGGGCCAGCTTTCCTAGCTCCTGCGAGCACTCCATAAGCACGGCAAATGAATGGATGATGTATGTGCTAAGAACACATTACCAGCAGTACATGAGACGTGTATATAAACAGCTACCAATTAAGCAGAAGAGGTGTACCTAGTACATTTCCGGCCCTGGCATGTGCCTGGGACTCGGCTAAACGCTCTCCTCATTTCTTCGCTGCCACCAGCCTGTCAGGAAGGCACTGCTAATCCCCATTTTCCAGACAAGGACGCTGAATGGCAGAGACCTCGAGTAAGTTCCCCTGAAGTGTCACAGGTGCTAAGTGGCTCTTGGCCCCTAGAGGGCGTTCCTTCTCCCTGGGGGCTGCTGCTATCTGTTCCAGCTACAACGCTTCTCGACGAAAATGGTCAGATCAATTTTGTGAAATGCTTTGAGAGTCACAGATTTTGAAAAACAGTAGTACATTAAATTAACGATTCTATCATCAGAGAGGCCATGTTTAAAGAACATTTGCTTTGCTCACTTCTAGAACATACTAACTTAAAAGGAATAGCTTTTAACAATCTCAAATTTCATGACTAAAGTAAGCAATTAAGTATTTTTGTCTTATGATAATGTTATTTTTGTCTTATGGTAATGTATCAGAACTTAAAAAAACTTTTTTTCTCGAAAAAAACAACTTTTTTTTTTGAAAACGACGGTCAATGTTGACATTTTATTTGCGTCACTGAAGAGCTTAACTGTATTCAGCCATCACCGAGCGTTCAGTTCAAGCCAGGGCCTGGGTGGCTGTGGCCTACAGTGCACCCTGTTCAACTGGACCAATTTTCTCCAGGTGAAATACATCACATTTATTTGAATATTTAAGGCTGAAGAAAAAGAAACTTTATCTACAATGTATGCAGAGAGAATTCCAGGAGCTGAAGTCAATTGTCTTCCTTAGGTCCTGGAATCCACACGAGCACTTCCTAACGCTCTGTAAATATATAAACGTACAACTTCTTGTGTAATCTAGAACTTCTCTCTCCCTGTGTTGGTTATATATTATGCCTGTAAACACTGCATGCATACAGTAACGGATGGTCCAATCGCTTCTGCATGTCTGCCGCTGGGCAGCTACAACTGAATGAAAATCACCACCACTCCTATGATTTGTTGAGGCAAAGAATAATTCAGGTTAAACTTAGACTACAAATTGGCACCACAATAAGTTATTAAAATACATTCAAGCAAGCACATGAATCATGGTCACCTATGAATATGTACAAAATAAATTTTTATATACAGGTCCAAGGCATAACACATCTTCGGAAGCACAAACAAAGGATATCTGTTGGTTCCTTCATTCATTCACTCATTCATTCATACAACAGATTTAATCAATGTCTATTTATAAAGGGCTAAGTTCTTAGAAAATAGTTTGCTGTGAATTATTCAAAAGCCAGCTATCCATCCAGCAAGCTAGTGTGGGCTCTGTAGCGCCTGCCTCCACTTCTGTACATGTTTTTCTTCTCTCTCTCTCTCTCAACATTGGGAGGCTGTTAGAACATGATGAAACATGTGGGGTGCTTGGCCTATCAGACCAGTGGAGGGAGAAAGAGGATGGAAGCAGATTATTACAAGCTACTGAGAAAGGTGTAACTCAGAGAAAACGTGTCCAAGCTCCTGGCTTTTCCATTTCAACTAGAATTTGCTGAAAAGCTACTGAAAGAACTACTTCTTCCAAAAGTTTTCATGGACAAAATCTCACGATGAAAAGAGTGATCGTCTGGCACATGTTTCTGAGTCAGATGCACTGTGATCCCTAAGGATAGTTGTTGGGCAGCTTCCAGCCCTCGGAGCTCTAAGTGCTGCTCTACAGGAGGACCAGGAGCCAAGGTCACCCCAGGGGCCGGCGGGGGTCTACCTATACATGACCTTTGAGCCTCACAGCAGACCCCCTGGGTGCGGTTATTCCCATTTTAGAGAAAGTCTGCGCCCCTGTTTCTCTTCTCTCCTGGTCTCTTTCTTTTTCTGGACTTCTGTTCCCATAATTCTCCTGCCTATTCCTTCTCGGGTCATCTCTTTCCTAAATTTCAGTGGCTCAACTACAGTGGAGACAGGAATGTCCTCCCCCCATGTGTGTAGATGCACTGGGCCCTCCCATGTGTGTAGACGGACTGTCCCCTCCCCTGTGTGTAGATGGACTGTCCCCTCCC